ATTTTATTACATATGAGAAAGAAATTAATCCAGAATGAAGGATGAGTGGATGGTCTTTGATGTGAAGGATTTGGGGAAGCAAGGAATAGTGGAACTAGTTGGGATTCAAGGGAAATGAACTGCAGCATGTAGAGAAAAGGGAAGAGGTGGTAGAGCCCCATCCTGCCATCATTCATTCAGTTACTTGGGCTACAAATGAGTAACTGATGCTAAAAGAATTGTCAATTTTATATAGAGATGAACTCTGCTTAGATCACTGAAATTATGAAATAGGTTGAAAATTTTCCCATTGCATTCTGATGCAGCACAACTTTGAGTGGCAGATATTGAAGGCTGGAGAATAGAAGAGATATTAATGTTTCAGATGAAGGGGAATAAAAGACACTAGATGAACAGCTGAGGATGGCACTGGGAACCAAGATTAGATGGACAATATCATGAAGCATAAGAAGAGAGACTTCCCACTCCTTCAAAAAAAGGGCAATAAAGAAATTCTGAGAACCAATAAAAAATACGAGTTTTAAAAATGCTTGAAATTTCTCCTTAGCTAACTTTTGTGTTTGCTTTGTAGAATTAAAACTTAAAGTCCTCTGAAGCATAAAAATGATTTCGTATGAAATTGGCTACCCAATTTTTCTGAAAATGATGAGTTCATTTGGTCTCTGAACTGAAATAATTCATTTCTGATAATCAGTTATGTTCCTACCAAGTTTTCCTACTTAATGCAAAAGGGATTATTCTCCTAGCTACGTGTCATTGAAAATCAGAAGTTAATTCCCAGACACCAGAGCACCTTTCTCACATTCCTAATCCTCAAACTAAATAGATAATTCACTAAAAGGAAGAAAGTGAAAGACCACTGACTAAAGAAGTTGACTAAAAAGGGAGGTGAGGATGGTGGTAAAGAAGAATCAGTGAATACTAGGGACCAATTTTCACATATCATAGTAATCTTTAAATTGCTGTTAACAAGCATAACAGGAGCCTGGATTATACACTGCTTGTCTATAATAAAAACAATGATATCTTTGAGCTGCAGCTTCTACATCAGTACCAGGAAAGCCCATTAGCTTCATCTATTTCCTTCCACAGACTAAAGGAGAAATAAGCAACTTATGATTTCAGTGCCTGCTCTTTATGTCTCTGTTTATGCAGAAGAGTCTGAAAAAACTACCTAGATTTGCCCGTCCTGGCCTTTACAATATAGCAGTAAGAGGAAAATGTTTAAAATGATGTTAATTCTATTTATTCTGAACAGCCAAGTTGTTTAACTGTATAGATGGACTTATCCAAAGAGTATATGTTACTACACAGGAAATTATATAAATATTTTACAGGACTATGTCAAATAACATTTGATTGAAAAATATTTTATTTGGTTGAAAGTCAATTACTATGACAGGGTCCTCCAAATCTTTTGGTTTATCTGTCTCAAGTTGGAAGAATGATTCTTCCACAAATGTGGCTTCCAATTCTCCAATCCAAATGGCATTTTAAAAGTTTTGGCAAATCAAATACCAGTTCCCACCAGTATACCCATTTCTCATGTGTAAGGGGCAAGTATAATCGTCCCAGAAACCCAAATTGTGGTTGGAAATAACTTTGAAATTTTCCATGTTTAATTTATAATCTAAGAAAGAATAAATCAACAAGCCATACCGTATTCCAAACTTTCAAATGTAGCCATTAAACAAGCATTTCCATTTTGAAGTTACCTCTCTTTTATGTTGATCTTACATATAAAGTTGCTACAATATACTCTATAATCTCTTTTTACTGATATGTTTTAGTTATTTATCAAAAAGATTAAGTTGTTAATATATGGGAATACTATTAACAGCAACATGGAACAGTGGGAAGAGTACTGGTTTGGATACAGCAGAGACTTGGATTTAAATCTCACAGCCAATATTAGAACTAGAAAGGACCTCAGAGGTCCACACTCTTCATTTTTATAGGCCCAGACAAGTGAAATGTCTTACTCAAAATGACGCCCACAGCACACAGTTAGTAGCTGATATGGCTAGTAGCAGAGCTCAGGTTTTCTGAGTTGTAGGCAGGGGCATTTTCAGTTACAGTACACTTTTATTCATATACTATGTGCTAGGCACTGTGTTAACAGAGGAGACTGAAGAAAGAATAGACAGGCAGAAGAGCCCAGAGAGGGAGGTAAAATGAGAATGCAGGAAGGAGAGCTTCTCTTCCAGTTCCACATCTGACTCTTGGGTCTTTGCAACATCCACCCACACCCACAGCCCTGTTAGCCTGGAGATGCTTTCTTGGATCCTCTGGCCCTCTCTGATTTTTGAGTCCCTGGCGAGGACTGCCATTTCATGAAATGCCCAGGCCACAGGAACTCACTTCTCTCTCAGATCTGCTCTTAATTCCTGATCCTCTGTGTTTCTATCTCCTGCTTAGCAACCTCATGTCCTTTCCCTCTACCCCTTTATGTGTTGTTTTCTCCCAACAGAATGTGAACTCCTTGTGGGTGGAGACTATTATTTTTGTTTGCATTTGTATTCTCAGCTCTTAATATAATGCCTGGCAAATAGTGAATGCCTAATAAATGCACTCTATCTATCTAGGAGGAGGCGCATGGTTAATAGTGTCAAATGTTAAAGTGAGGTCAATAAAAATGAGGAATGAGAAAGGTCACTAGATTTGGCAAATGAAAGATCATAGGGCATCTTGGGGAGAATAATTTTTTTTTTGTTTTGGTTAATGGTAAGATCAGAAACCAGACTGCAAGGGACTAAGAAGGGAGAGAAAGGAAAGGATTGGAGGCAAAGAATATTGCTTTTTCTGGTAACGTTCTGAAAAGAGAAGAGAGAATACAGGATGATATCTCAAGGGACTGTTGGGGTAAAGTAAGTTCTTTTTAAAGGATGAGGAAGATTTGGCCATGACTGAAGATGGCAGGAAAGAAGCCAGTAGATAGCAAGAGACAAAGGATGAATGTGAGAACAAGCTGAAGGAGAAGACAAGCAGGGAATGAGATTAAAGGGCATAAATAGAGGGGAATAGGAGAAAAGAATAGGGGACGATGTCAAGAGGTTCTGAGATAAATAATGGGGAAAAGGTGTCTATAGCAAATTGTTCTGTTTTCTCAGTAAAGAATAGGGCAAAAGACAGAAAACTGTGGCATGGGAGCCTGGGACAGAGGAGAGTTTGAAATAGTAGCTAGGAAGGAGTGTGAAAAGTGTAAAAGTATTAAGTGAGATACATTTGTAATGGATCCAGTCAGCGTGGCTGTCTGACTTCTTCCAATGGCATGCAGCAGCTTGCAAGAATTGAAATGATGAAAGTCATCTATGGTAGCAGCTTGGCAAGATATGAGTAGTGACAGGACAGGGGTGCAAGGCAACTGACGGTAGAGGACAACATAACATTGAACTGGTTCAAGAACAGGGAAGAAGTGAAGTGAAGGCAGAATGTGGGTGATGACTGGGGGAACACTGAGGGATGGAGAAACTGGAAACCATCATAATGTCAAAGAATAAGCTGAAGAAGAGTGAAGCCCAGGGAGATGGAAGGATAGGAAGTTATGGTTATATGGAAGAATTTCAAAGTTACTGAACTTGGAAGTAATACATTTATGGGCAATGGTGAGATTAAAGGTATGATCATCTTTGCTGAGGTGGAATGAAAGGTCATGGAAGTGGAGGTGTTTGATAAACTTGGAGGGGAGGATGATTCAGGGCATATGAACACGTACTATACTGATATTTCCAGTCTCTTTTGCTGGCTCGTCAATATCTTGTCACCTAACCATAGGTGTTTCCCAAGGCTTTGTCCTGGGTCCTCTTCTCTCCTCTCTCTCCTGTATCTGTTCTATGCAGGTAACTCCCATATCTATACAATTAGCCTCAGTCTCTCCCCTAAGCTTCAGTCTGGCATCACTGACTGTCTAACAGACATTTTAAATTGTATGTGGGAGAGAGCTCAAACTCAAAGTGTGCAAAACTGAACTCACCTTTCCTTCCAAATCCACACCAGTTTCCAAACTTCCCTATTTCTATCAAAGATGCCACCCATTCTTTCACTCTCTCAGGTTCGTAACTATGATGTTATTCCCCCTTTCTGACTCCATCACCACAAGAATCCAATCATTTGCCAAATGCAGTCATTTCTACCTTCACATATCTCTTGCATCCAACCACTTCTTTCTACTATCACAGATGCCATCTTGAATCAGGCCTTACCATCTCTGGCCTACAATACTGCAATGGTCTCCTGATTGTCCTGCTACCTTCAAATCTTTCCTTGCTCCAATCCACCATCCACACAGCTGCCCAAACGATTTTCCTCAGGCAAAGATCTGACCAGGTCTCTGCCTTACTTAACAAAAGCCTGTGGCTACCTATTCCTTCTAAGATAAAATAGAAATGCCTTTGTTTGGCTTTTAGAACTCTTCATAACCTGGTCCTAACCTATTTTTCCAGCCTCTTTATATATTACTCCTTTTTTTGTCCTCTATGTCCAACTGAACTGAACTCACTCTGTTCTTCACATATGGTTCTCTATCCCTTGCCTCTATATCTTTATATTTGTATACTGCTTTCCTGTTGTTCCTTGCAGTTGCAATATTCCAACTCTGGATTATGCATTTTCACTGACTATCTCCTATACCTGGAATTCTCTCCCTTCTTGACTCTAACTCCTGCCTTCTTGCAAGACTTAGATCAAATCCCACCTTCTGGAAAAGGCCCTTCCCTCTCCTCCCTTTCCCAATGCCTTCCCTCTGAGATAACCTCCTATTTGTACTTTGTTGTATGTACACAGTTGTGTGCCTGCTGTCTCCCCTATTAAACTGTGAGCTCCCTGAGGGCAGGGACTGTTTTTGCCTTTCTTTGTATCCCCAGCACTGATCACAGTGCCTGGCCCACAGTAAGATCTTAATAAATGCCTGCTGATTGACAGACTAACTGCTCAAACACAAATATTTGCATAAATGGATCTGGACCATGTTCTAATTGACTTTTTTCTTTGAAAGCCCTTACCCTCAGCCTGTCTTTGGGCAATGCAACAGCTCCTTGCTTGATGATTTCCAGGACTCGTTCCACTGACAGCTCGGCTCCAGCCTGTTGAAGTCGTGAACTAAAGAAGGTGATCACCTGGAACAGAAAGCAATATTGTTTAAACAAGCTGATGTAGGAAACATCACTTCAGCAAACACAGCTACATGTTTAAAGGAAAGTGATCTTTGGCTCATAACCCTAAAAGTACACCTCTTTGCCTACAGGGCTAATGACTGCACCCTAGGCCTCCAGATTATTCCAACAATTGATCAATCAATCAACATCTATTAAGTGCCTATAACTCTGGTTTCTGCTCTTCTTTCTGTCCTCATTTGTTTGGTTTTCTCCATGTCATTTTCCCCAGAAGGTAGAAAGAGAAGCTAACAAACAAATGAGTCAGTTTAGTGGTTTAACAGTAATGCCAAGAAAAGAAGCAAAGGGACCTAATGGCTACAATCGTGTTTTCAGAACTGGCTCTGAATTTAATTTTATTTATCTCCATCATCCACTTACATGACTACTAGAGTTAATTCAGAATTCTGGCAGTCTACTTCCAGCATGAAGCAAAACCTTGCCAGAAGATACTAACACAGTAGCATCCTCTAGGCAACAATAACTCTCTCTGACGTTTTCCAATATGTAACCTAAGACAATGAAATAATTTTTAAACAAAAGTCTTTGAAAACAACAATTTCAATGTCATAATTACATCTTGGACATCAACTTTTGTTCAGGGGGAAATCAAAGACTTAGAAGTACTGCTCTATTAGGAAACACTAGATTCCAACGTGTGTGTTTATGCGTAAACAAATTTATTTGTGCTGTTTCAAGTTGAAAGTTTATTTTAAAAAAGTAGCAGCAATATTTTAGTTTTTCATATAAACACATGCCAAAGGATATACATAATTTCTTGCATATGTTTTCTTTTTAAAAGTTAAAAAAGTTATTCTGTTCTGAATATTAATGGTTCACCAATAATTTTTCCCCAATGCCATTCTAATGGAACAAGTGAACTGCATTCCATAAACTCTGCTGAACTGCTTTTGTTCTGGAAAGCCAAGAGACCCAGCTGGAGCCAGGGACCATTAACATAATTATGCCTCACAACTCCTCTGCAGTTAGTGAAAACAAAGGCAGCCGATGGCTTGATTACTTTTGATTCCAATAAGTCATTCTTTTATCTGAAGCAATTTGCTAGCACCAGCTCCTCTGTAACGTGGGAGAGTTGTTTGTTTTGTCCACACAGTGCTGGTCTTTCAATGTGTGCCAGTCATTACTGTTTTCCTCCATTTACAATAAGATCCTTTGAGTATGATCTGGGTCTAGGATTCACGTCCACGGTTTCTAGGGCTATGTCTTGAAATAAGAGGTGGTTGGCAAATTGTTTATGATTATAATTGAAAACAGAAGCATAATATAAATGGAAGACAATGTAACAATAAAAACACTTTCAAAATGGTGTCTTTTAAATATCTAGGATTTCTTAATCCTCTTAAAAGCAAGATTTTAATAATTAGTGTTATAAGTTTATTTCGCATTTAATTTTTGATATTTTAAAGGAGAATACACTTAACATGGAATTAATCATTGCTTTTAAATGAATGGATATGGGGCGGCTAGGTGGTGCAGGCATAGAGCTCTGGCCTTGGAGTCAGGAGCACCTGAGTTCAAATATGGCCTTAGACATTTGACACTAGCTGTGTGGCTCTGGGCAAGTCACTTAATCCCAACTGCCTCACCAAAAATAAATGAATAAATAAATAAAAAATAAAAGAACCTGAGAGGAGCTTGTGGGCCCAGATGGATTATAGGAGAGAAGAGTGTAGGATGAGGGTAAATGAACAGATTAGTTTCTCTATGGAGGAAAAAAAAACCACACCTCTGCTCAAAACTATTCCTTTTTTTTTTTTTTAGGCAATTGGGGTTAAATGACTTGCCCAGGGTCACACAGCTACTAAGTGTCAAATGTCTTGACAAAACCGATCTGAGGCTGGATTTGAACTCAGGTCCTCCTCACTTCAGAGCTGGTGCTCTATCCACTGTGCCACCTAGCTGCTCCAAAACTATTCTATTTGAATACAGAGATTGAAACGTGAGCAATATGCTTGTCAAATACACATCTTAAAAGTTAACTTCTATATTTTAAATGTTTCTTTACATTCGAGGCTCACACATTTAATCTCTACTTTTTTAGTATCTGCTTTGTAAGAATTCGATATTTTCATTTCAGTTGCAGCAAACAAGTATGACTAATTTGATTTTTAATCACTTCAACTTTTTACAGAATGTTCTTGGACTTTTTAAAATATTTAGGCAATAAAATTGGAATAACTCAAGATAGGTTTATTGTGGAATGCATATGTAGACAGCAATGACTAAAATCAAATGGAAGAACATTAAATTACATTTTTGACAATTTTGATTTTATTGGGTTAAAAGATTATTGGCTCTACACCACAAGGAAATCTCATTCCTATTAGAGCTATTGCAGGGTAGATCAATTTACTCAAATGTAGTGATAGTCTTAAATAAGATACTATAAACATTCCTCTTTTTAAACATCTTTTACGTGTATTTTTCAAAAGGTCAAATTCTGATTGATTTAACTGACATGAAATATGCAGCAAAATAGATTATAATAAACATTTTCTTACTGAACAAGGTTTAAAGTGTTTTAGCTTTTTTAGCTTAGCCAAACCATTTCAGATGGAGTAAAACTATAAGATCAGGTTATATGTATCTTGCAATCCCATTCATTCAAGGTCTTCAGCCTATTTTCCCCAACCAAACTAGATATTGTAGACAACAGTAATTTTAGTGATGATAACAGTGCTCCAGCTATTATCATTTGCCATAGCAATCATCAAAACTGTTAAAGGAGATCAACACCCCTTACCCCTAATCCCCACCCCCTCCAATATTTGCAAAAGCTTTAGCCAAAATAAGAAAAAATTTAAAGCAAAATCTATGGCTAAAATAAAAATGAATGCTTTGTTAGTCTAAGTCAAAGCCAACATTTCAAAGGAACATACTTTTCCACAGTGGGTGTTTTACAACCTTCCTCTGCCTACCATATTTCAGAGCAGACCTTGGCTGCAACTCATGAAACCTAAGTACAGTACATTACCTTCAATTATCCTCTTGGCTTTGAACAGTAATTGTCCAATGTCATGTTCTGATTAGTTAGTTGGACCTTTCGAGTAATGTCAAAGTCACGTTTAACCCCCTGTCGTGAAACCTGTGGATGACGTTCACCAGATCACAGATTTACAGAAATGTGACGCTTTGTGCTTTTCTGGGGAATGAGTATATAAGGGAGTTAGTACATGCCAGGTAAGCCTTCCCTCCTGGCTGGTAAAAGGTTATTCTCCCAAGAGAGGGTTGGGTATTTATTTTAAACAATGGTAGTGGGGTTAACAAAAAATGCAACACTTATGAGTTGTATCACTATTTTTTTTCTTCTGAAGTTCTCAAATTTCACTCAACAGAAACATTGAGCACCAACTCAGTTGTAGCCACTGGACTGGTATGTGGAATTCCAAAGGTGGTAAAAGACAGTTCCTGTGCTCAAGGAAACTACTACCATCTATGGTATGGGGGTGGGAGCACAGGGTGGTGGTGGTGTTGGGGAGAGGGATGGGACACAGAACTCTGCACAAAAACGAAAATGATGAAACACAAAGTAACATGCATAACAGATAACAGCTGAACACGCTGATACACACCTTTACAAACTGAAGCACTAAGAGCTAGAGTTGAAAGAAATGAGTTTGGTAATAAGGGTGATTTAATTTTACACACATTACAATTGGGATTCTATTCAGAGGAAACTCATGAAAAGATGGCAGATAAAAACTGAATATTTACTGGCTCAATATGCTAATGGTATTTATTGGCTCAATATACTAATGAATGCCAGGCACAAATTCCTTATTTTTAAAAAACACTAAAGTTTGCACAAAATTTCTGTTATTTATATTGTTCAAAATGGCAATGAATTTCAATGTCACCATACTGAACATGCTTTAAACTTTAGTTTAATCTCCCTCCCTAAATTTTTGTCCACTAGCCTAAATTAAGCTAATAGGTTATTTTATATTCTACTTATTTTCTTTACCTGAGGCTAGAACTTATGGAATGTCTATTTTTATCATGGCACAAATGGGAACTTCATGTAGAGTAGAAAAGAAATAGTCCCTGTCCCCTACAGGTTTGTAAATTAAGAGTACTTTAAAGAAATTATTCTACATAAGGTTCCCTTAAGAACCAATTTGGGAGAGGACAAGATTTCAACAGGGTTAAAATGGAAATTCATTTTTTTTTTGGTAGCAGAAATGGAAAATCACTCCATGTTTCATGGATTAAACACAAAACCCAGAATTGGCGCAATGGATTGAGTGATGGATTTGGAGTCAGAGGGCCTGGGTTCGAAACCCATGTGAGCCTGGGTTAAATTACCTCACTTCTCTGGGCTCTACTTTTCTCATCTGAAAGATTAGAGAATTAGAGAGTAGATGGTCTCTAAGATCCCTTCTAGCTCTGGAGCTGTAATCTAACAATACTAATTTCACCTAGAACCAACTAACTAGTGCAAGTACCAAGGAAAACGTGCAATGTGAGCACTAATACTACTGCCACCACTCATCCATCCAAAAATCATTTATCACTCAAGCAATCAACAAATATTTATTAAATGACTATTGTGTGGTAGGTCCTAAGCTAGGTACTAGGAGGGCAAAAGACAAAAAAAACTGTCCTTGTTTCTTACATTCTATTTGGCAAGAGATATATGTACACATGTAAGTTTATACCAAGTACATACATAAATACAAAATAATTTTATAGGGGAAAGCACTAGCTGCTGAAAGAATCAGAAAAGGCCTTATGTGGATGGGGACACTCTAACTCATAGGCTGAACAATTAATTAATGTACCATCTGTTGTAGGACTTTAATATTTATTAAATATTACTTTGTAAGGTAGACTTTTAATAAAACAACTTGGAAAATTAACTTTCTTAATAGTTTATGATATATGCAATGTTTAAAAGTAGTAAACCCCTTATCTTTAAAAATATTATGCACGTGGGATTTCTT